GTGGAATTTTCAAGTCATCAGCCAACTACTTCTGCAGCCATAATGCAGGGAACCTGCATTATTTTTGTTGTCACACAGAACTCGCTTAACCAAATGTGTGGATCATTTGTTGCACACTTGCAAGCTTCTGGTCTTTCTGAAAGCATTGTCCAAACAATGGTTTCTTCAATGGAGGAAGTAGTCAGTGATGTTCAAAGTCAAGCACGAGAAGCAGTTCTCCAAACATTTTCTCCTGAAACTAAGAGGTCCAATATTTTTAAAAAGGTAGAGCACAGTTTAAATCAGTTACAGAATCCTTTTTCAACATTTAACACAGTGACAAAGAGGCAAAAATATTATGATGAAAAATGGGAATTAGTTGAGCCTAAAGAATTTGTCCTTCGTGTGAGAATGGCTACGCGAAGAGATAGAACCTCAGGAATTTTTAGTCAGATCCCTGTGACAGACAAGTATATGTATGTACCAATTTTAGGTATACTAAAATCTATTTTCAAAAACAGTGAGATAAGAGATGGCTTCTTGCAAGAGAAACACTGTAAAAAGGGGACATTAATGATGGGGTATATTTTCAGAACCATTCTTGTTCTCAAAACGGAGGCATGCCCTACAAATTATGCTCTATTACGATGATTTTGAAACTGCTAACCCGCTGGTTTCTAAGAACGGGATTCACAAACTTGGGTGTGTTTATTTCACTTTAAAAAAAACCCACCCCCAAAGTTGAACTCTGTGCTAATGAATGTCCACCTTGCAGCTCTTGTCTACACAGAAGATTTAAAGACATACGGTTTTGATGAAATACTAAAGCCTCTAATTGATGATTTGAAAATTTTAGAAAAAGAAGGACTCCAACTTCTATTCTTTGAAGAACCATTGTTTGACTCTGTAGTTCAAGTCACAGGAGATAATCTTGCTTTAAACAGCTTGTTAGGTTTTGTGGAATCTTTCAGCTGTTAACCGTTTCTGCTTCAGCCTCCAGACCATGGTTGGGAGACACAGGGGAGACTTTACCTCTGCTCCAGGGCCGAAGCTGTCCTCAGCGTCTGGCTTAACTCCTCTTTTATTTTACAGCAGTTGGGAAGCAAAAAAACGGGACTCGCTTTGTACTTGAGGGCTGTAGCATTAATTTGCCAGTAGTTTCCTGCAAAGCTATACATTTACTGCTACTTGTGCCAGAGTTGGGCCTGCTCCGATCACCTCCTCTCCTCACATTCGCCGTCATCCACGTCAGGCGCTCGCTCACTCACACACGCCGGTCAAGCAACCTGCGCACCCCAGCATTTCTTAAAGGGCCACACACACTCTTATAACACAGCGCAACACACTGGTGTAGGTTCTGTTCGACAGCTAAGGAAGAAATTCAATCTGTATTTACTGAAAATAATCCTGGAGTTATTCTGCACTCCAGAGAAATTTATACTGAACATTGTAATGCATTAAGTGAAGATCCTGCTTTACCTTCCATTTATGGTGTTAAAAAATCTTGTGTGCTCAATTCATTAGAGTATTTTCATAGCACTGACAATTATGCAGTTGATATCAAGCATGATTTGCTAGAGGGTATTGTACAGTATGAGCTTAAGTTGTTTTTTCAGTACCTGACAAAAAACAGTTACATCTCTATATGCAGGCTGCAAGGTGGCGCAGTTGGTTAGCACTGTTGCCAGCAAGAAGGTTGCTGGTTCTGCGTGGAGTTTGCATGTTCTCCCCGTGCAGCGTGGGTTCTCTCCGGGTTCTCCTGCTTCCACACATTCCTCCAAAAACATGTTGAGGTTAATTGGTGATTCTAAATTGTCCGTAGGTGTGAATGTGAGTGTGCTTGGTTGTCTGTCTCTAAGTGTGGCCCTGCGATGGACTGGCGACCTGTCCAGGGTGTCCCCTGCCTTCGCCCTAAGTCAGCTGGGATAGGCTCCAGCCCCCCCGTGACCCTGTTGAGGATTAAGCGGTGTATAGACAATGGATGGATGGATCTCTATAAGCACACTGTCAGACAGGATACAGAGTTTTAATTATGGCTACACAGTACGTAAAAACAAACCCAAGTGGTTTAAAAATTGATGACAAAAGCAAGCACTTAGGTCTAAATGCCATTCAATCATTGTGTGTTCTCCGCAACACTCCACTTATCTTCAGTGATCTAGTTGAAAGGGACAATAGGCACTGGAACTTTGTTTTGCTTTTGTTACAGATTGTTAATATAGTGTTCTCCCCTATCCTTACTGATGGCATGATATGTTACCTAAAACATTTGATTTGTGACCACCATAAAATATTTAAAACCTTGTTCCCTGAAAACAAACTGATTCCCAAACACCACTTAATGATTCACTATCCAAGATGCATTTAAAAAAATTGGCCCGCTTATCCGTATATGGTGTATAAGATTTGAAGCGAAACACAAGTTTTTTAAAAAGTCTGTAAAAAATTTTAAAAACCTTACAAAATCTCTGGTGAAGCAACACCAGTGTAGGATATGGACAGACACAGATGTCCAAAAGGATTCGAAAAACTTCATTTGAACGTTCCAGCCATAAAAAAGACAGAACTGTCCTGCAGGTCACAGGGCCATGTAAATCAGCTCTGCAGACTCGGAGGAGTCGAAGACGGAGGAAGCAGAGCCCCATTGGGAATTTCCTTATCACACTTACGTCGAGCCTCAAAGGATCTAATGCACATGAGCTTTTGGGGGAAGACAAAGAAAAACATTCAAGACCACGCAGATCTTAACAGATGGCCAGGCGCAATGAAGTGCCCTGGGCTTAACGTATTGCTCTGCTGACCCCTCATTTCCTGTGGCATGCAACAAAGAAACCTAAGAACTGAACTCATCAATGAACAATAAGACACAGTACCAGAAGATGTGCCTTATTATCTTGTGTTAAGTTTAATCGTTAAATGTTATGATATATCATGTCCTGATAAATACTCCAAAGCTTAATCACAGTTGGATAAGTCCTTCTTTAATTTATCAGCTTGCTATATTACCATATCCTAAGCATTGTGTTATCTCTGTAACCGTCCAAGATAGATTGGTCATGTTTAGACTCTCCGTGAAGCTTTACATGTGACACATTCATTTCCAACAAACTTAGCTTTGTATAATTGAAAGTACATATAGTTCTGAAGGAACATTGTTACTTTCAGAG